ATTAGAGACTTCTACTATCAAAGGTCTTCTTTGGCCTAGCTATAAATTCACGTGATAAAGTTTCTATTCTTAGTCTTAGGGTTCATATATATATATATATATAGACTGATGGCGACCAAATGTACTTAAAATTCAGTTTTGTCTTCTTTTAAAAGAGTCATGATAGAACAAAGGCAACAAATTTCAACCAGATCATGCAGCCAATTAAGTAAAAGAAGACAAATCCCAGATTTCCTCAGAATCAGAAATTTAGAGACAAATCAACACCAATGGCACGTAATGTTGCATTTTTCCATATTAAATAAACCCTTAAAATATGATGCATGGAAGATGGAGTAAGAGGTTGAAGCTTAACAAGCTTCTCTAAACCCTAACTAGTATAAACAAGAGTATTAATAAATGCATGGAACCACCATGGTTGGACAGCCTTGGATTTTTCAAAGCTCACATGTGTACAGTAGTAGGAGAGTCACGTCGAGAAAGATGGACAAGAAACACTGAATTTGTTTCTGTGAAGATCACAAACTCTAGAATGAGCCATGTTCCAACCATGATCATGACCTTCTCTGTAGATGACATCAATGGGTGTTTCAGCCTTCAAGTTTTTCCAAATGCCGCAATCAATGTACCTTTCAAATCACAGATCGTGGCTTAAGGGTTTGTTTTTTTTTTCAAACTTTGCGTCTTCTCTTAGTGATTTAGATTTCTTTTTCTTGTTGCTCTTCAGGTGTCATAGGGGACGTCTAGTAAGTTCAACAATTACTATAATTACGCCATGTTATATATATATATATATATATATATATATATATATATATATATCTTAAACCAATTAACATACTTTTGAAGCTTTGATTTGACCACAGAAAAGTTTAAAAGTATGATTGGAACTTAATTTCCTAGTTTCATTAGCTTGATGAAAAAGAAATCACATCTTAATTTTAGACCGGGATCACTTACAATTAAATATATTTAAATTATTTTAAAGAAATTAAATAAATTTTTAATTTTTGATTACATTCAATCAAATTTTTTTATTTTTATTTTAAATCAATTAGATATTTATGACTAATAATAATTAATTAACTATTAATTAAAATAATATTTATTATTTTACACTCACATAAGGTTAACTTATCATATTGATTTGTCATAATAAAGGGGTGAGATTGTCATGTGACTATGTCACTATCCTACGTTAACAAATCATGTAAATATATTTATTATGATAAATCAACATATTATGTGAATATAAATTATCTGAATTAATTTTAGTTAGTCAATTCATAATTATAAAGAAAGTAGACCACGTGTGTGCTTATCTATAGGCATCACAACATCATGATGATGTTTTTTATTTGCGTTGATTCATGGAGAATTTTCAAGTAGTTATCAAGTTAAGATAAGGAAGAGGGTAGACCTTGCTTGTAAGGGATATGGTTGTAATTAGGTGAATGCTATTTTTATCATCCATCCTCTCTACCTTTGACACCCAATCAAGTATATTTTCATGTTTAAAAAAAATTATTAATAATAAATATTTATTTAATTTAAAATAAAAATGTAAAGATTGATTGAATTTAATAAAAAAATAATGAGTTATTTGAATGTTTTTAAATAATTTAATCGCAGGGCTCTGCAAGAGAAATTTAATTATTGTTGTCAGGTAATGAGAAGAAGATCAGTAAACAAGGGGGCAAACGTCCCCAGAGCCATGGCATGATATCTGGGAAAAACAGATGCTTTAACACATAACGGTAAGCCTTTTGTTTTAGTTGAAAAATACAAAAGAGACTGTTTTTTTCACATGCAAAGCTTATTCAAAGTCATTGTCAGGTGAGAAAATATAAATGCATGCATGGCCCCATCCACATGTGCTTAATTCCATTTGTCATCTCCTTTATTTCTATCTTCTCCACTAGCTTTATAGCTAGCAGGCTTTAGGGTTTAATTTTTTCAAAGATTTTGCCATGTGCTTAGCCGCTTTTAAGGCCTTAAAGTAAAGTCTTCAGCCGTAATTTCCTGGAGATTGGTCTATGCTTAAGCTATTCCTGGCATATCTGTGTAGGTAACCTTAATGATATATATCATATTATAGCCTTTTATATGTATATACATACGCTTTACATACATGGTAACAGCAGACAAAAGGAAAAAGAAACTTGTAGATAAGATATAAATGCATACATCATGGGGTGTTGCATTGCCTGATATATATACCATGGGTCATGTCTCTCCTTACATTGATTCATATGTAGAAAACTTACAAAGGAAGAAGAAACTCTAATCTTCAACTTCTTACTTGTTATATTCACCAAAAATCTAATTCTTCACATGACTATACATTAATCAGGATACAGATTAAGACTTGCATGTGATCTTTTGGGTTACGCAAGCATGAGGTTTGCATTCACTTTCTTCCATTTTTTGCATTCACTTTATTTTATTTTTATTTTTTATTATATTTAATTAAATTTTTATACATTTTTATTTAAAATCAAATAAATTTTTATGATTGATAGTTGATTTGAGTGTTATTATTCAAAATATTATTTATCAATTTTATATCACATAACATTGATATGATATAATAAATGATAACATGACATGTTGGTATGATATGATGACATAATCATGTAATTTTTTTCACTTTTCATATTAATGTTATGTCAACATTACATGAATATAAAATGACAAGTAATATTTTAATTAATGATAATTAATCAACAAATAGTTATGAGTGTTGAATTGATTTAAAATAAAAATATAAAAATTTAATTAAAAAATGATTCATAAATTGCTGGATGATACACTATATATGTACTGTGTTTCCCATGCAAGTCAAAATGTGAATAATCTTCACTTTGAGTGAAATGTCTAATCAAATTTGGCATGAAGTAATTGTAAGTAAGGAAATGCGTTATATATTTCTATAGGCTTGAGGATGGATAATGAGGTTAACAATAATTGGATGAACTTAAAAAAATAACAAAATAATAAAATTTAAAAAAAATAAACAATTAAAAGAAAAATAAAAATGATAAATTAAAAAAAAGGATAAATGGAATTTTTTGGGATAAGGATCGATTGAAGATGAAGTTTGAAAAAACAATACAAAATAAACCAAAAAACAAGAAAACGAATTTAACAAAGAATCAAGCACATTGGATATAAGTATATCCAAGCATCAGCACCACGAGATTAGAGTGGAGAAAAAATTAGAGAGAAATCAGCAAAAGGTTAGGGTTCTTGAGCTTTTTGAATCTTCAAGTTTAGATCTAGGAGAATCGGGGTTGTTTCAGGAAAAACTAATCTAATTAAAGGGAAAAAAGATCAACAAGAGTTTTTAGGTAAGATTTAGTACAATTCCGGCACTGGCATATAGCGATTGACAACAAGCTGTGCAGCGATCGATGATATTTCAACAACCAGAATCTGGAAAAAGAAAGAGGGAAGGATTTCTAGAGAGATACAAGGTCAAGTTAGAGAGAAAGTGAAGAAGTCAGAAATAAAGAAAAAGAAGAGAAAAAAAAGGTTTAATGCAAGAGGCAAAACATCTTCCTTAAAACGACTTCGTTTGATGAACTAGGTTTGACAAATTGGATCCACGACCCGTGCCTAAACCGAGATTGGTTCATAAGGCTCATTAGTTTGAGCTTTCTTTTATTTTGGGTACTAAAACCTAACAAGGTAACTTTTGATGCTTTCTTTTTTCTTTTTCTTTAAAATGTTTTGATTTTTTTAAAAGATGATTTAATTGTAAATGAATAATGTAGGGACTTTAATTTGAGAACATATTTTAAGAGTCATGAAAATAAATTAATTTAAAAACAATGATTATTTAAATATAAATTTTTTAAAATGAGACTTTTAAAGAAAATTAAGTGGTAATTTTTTTAAATTTTTCAGAGTTAAAGTAATTTATGGGACTTTACTATAAATGGGTAATCTCATAAATTATTTTTATAAAAGAGGTTTATTTTTAAATAATTATTACAAACATAAAATAATAATAGAGCCACAGTACTAATGTGTTATATAAATTTAATAAAAACGTAAACAAATAAAAATTCTCTAGTGATGGAATTTCAATAATGCTATAAGCGATAATTTTTTGAAAATGTCTGAATGAGAGATTTTTCTTGAATTTTGCTATAAGTGTTGGAGTTTTCAAGGAATATTTCAATATCAAAAAGTTTTTATTTATTTAAAAAAATAAAATAACAAAAAAATTGAACACAAAATAGACAAATAGGTGAATAAAATAAAATTAATTAAACATTGAATTTAATAAGAAAAAGATGAGACATAATTAATTAGGTACTAATTAAATGGACATTGTAAGGGTGCTAATACCTTCCTTATATGGAATTATACTCTCGAAACTAAATTTGTTTCGTAGATCAAAACTTATTTTTTTTAATGAACCTAAATCAAACTGAAAACTTAATTAGAACAAATAGATTCACTTAAATGGTTAATTGCACCTAAACAAAAAAAAGTTGATGACGTCTCCTCTTAAATCGAATGGTTGAGTTTCAAGACTCACAAGTCATTGAAAGTTCCAATTTAATTAACATTAAACTTACAAGAATTTACTTTTCAACTAATTAAAACATAAAATCACCAATTTGGTGGAATATGAAATCCATATAATAAATTCAAAGCCTATTTTACTCATTTAATATAAACCTCAACATTTTGATGACTTTAATAAAGGTTTCAAACTATTGGTCACTATTTTTGGTCTGATTAATGCAATTTCTTTCATATGTAATATGTCCTTTATTCTTTTACTTCTTCCTATTTCATAGTGGGTCATGCAAGTTTCCATAACCTCAAGAGTCAATAGACCAATAAACAATGGGAATTTTTTGGTTTGAAAATGAAACGTAACCATATCCCAAGTCTTGGCTTCACTACTGTATAGCACATGTGTGAACAGTTTGCTTTGGACTGCTTTGCTTGCCTATATATAGATGTCACCCTACTTATCTCGTCTACACAGATAATAGAAACAGAAGAACCCATCTCTCTTTCTCTTCCATCCTTTTCATCGTAGTCACAAGCTCAACATTTATGAAGATGTGTAGGGTTAATCTGACAAATAATGTTGCATTGTTTATACTTATTGGCTTGTTATTTCTGTCTTCAAGCTTTGAAGTCTGCAGTGCTAGGGAAGGCAAGCACTGGGGGTGGAACAAAGCTAGTTCTCGCCGTCAAATTGCGGCACGACCACGAGCAGGAAGCTCTGCCACCTTTAATGTGTTAGCCTATGGTGCCAAAGGTGATGGACGCACAGATGACACCAAGGTGTGTGGTTATTTCATGAGAGTAATTAGCCTCAATGATCTGCTCATAAGCCTGTTTACTACCATTGATCAACACATAATTTAACACATTGAAACCTACATATTCTGCTATAATTCTTCCTCTTTTTCTTCTTTATTTACTGTTAAGGTTGAGCCTTGAAGTATTGCAAAAGGCTTGAACAAAAGATAAATCCAAACAGATAGACTAATTTGCTACCTACTAGCAATATATGTATATTGCCCTTTTTGTTTCAGAAGATGCTAAATTGCACCATTTATATATATATACATACATACATATATATATATAAAACTGGGTTGAAGGAGTACCTAACGCTAATCAAGTCTTTAAGCTAATTCGTTATAGAAGACTTGTTTTCAGCCTTAAGAACATTGACCTATCATGTCCCCAAGATGAATCGCATAAGTTGAGAACATTAACTCCCCTGGACCACATTTGTGGCCATCCCTACTTCTGGTGGTGGTGTGGTCGTAGCCCAAGAGAGTCTCCTTGCCCTCAGCTCTGTTTGTCGCTCAAAGATTGCTTGCATTACTCCAACCTTCCTGGGTGGTCTAGTCCCAGGATTTGCCCGTCTATATACCTTGTTTGAATCAAATTTTGACTTGTCCCCACATAGGACCCTGAGGTGGTTCCACACCCTTAAATTGCACCAATTGAAGAAGAAAAGCTCAGACATGGAGTAGTGACTCACGAGATCGGAATTGATCATGTGTTTCCACTGTTGTCCTTTCACGTGAGCAGCAGTCAGTGATAACCATTTTGCATCCCATTCGTAGCATGTCTATACTGATAAAATGACACGTGAAAAGGACTAGCTGGAAATAGTTAAAAAATAACACTACTCTTAGCTACCTTCCTGTTATTTTTTTCCTCATAAAGGAAGAACTTAATTTCCTATATTCATTTAACTATTTAGTAATTATCACATGCCGGATCTTCGAGCTTTTCCTTTCTTAAAACGAACTTTTTTTTCGTTTTTATCTGTCATTTCCTTTTCATTTTCATCTGCAAGCACTCATTATGGAGTAAGCTGACATAAACTTTAATATCAAAATCATCGAGACTAAAGCTCTGCTTCATTGCAAACCAGGCATTCGTCGCAGCATGGGCTGCAGCTTGTAAAGTAGAGGCATCAACACTGATGGTTCCATCTGGGTCAGTGTTCCTTGTTGGACCCATTTCCTTCTCGGGCCCTAATTGTCAACCCAACATCGTATTTCAAGTAAATCACCATGCTTCTTTAAATTATTAGTTCTTCAGAGTATCAGAATGTTGCACCAGGCTTAGATTATTCACTTTATGCCCAGACTAACGCTGTCAAATTTGATATAGTTGGATGGCAAGATCATAGCTCCTACAAGTTCTGGTGCTTGGGGATCAGGTCTGTTGCAGTGGATTGAATTTACAAAACTGAAGGGGATTACAATCAGAGGCAAAGGAAGTATTGATGGACAAGGTTCGGTCTGGTGGAACGACTCACCGACCTTTGATCCTACAGCTGAAGATGGCATGGTAACGGGGAGACTTCTTTTATGATTAAACACTTCCTTATACAGGGCATTGCCATCTCCATTTTCACTTACGCATGCAAATCATGTCTGTCTGGCAGATAAGTGCTGAACTGAGGGGAAAGATGCCAGGCACCAAACCAACAGTAATTACTTGCTTTACTACTCTCCATTTTTACAAGCTGACAACTGACTTTGAGATCAGAACATCTGATTGGTGATGTTATTTGGAATGCAGGCTTTACGATTCTATGGAAGTGATGGTGTAATAGTGACTGGCATAACTATACAGAACAGCGCTCAAACCCACCTCAAATTTGATGCTTGCACAAGCGTTCAGGTTTCTGGCTTCAGTGCATCATCTCCTGGTAACAGCCCCAACACAGATGGAATTCACCTGCAGAACTCCCAAGATGTGGTCATCTCCAGCACAACTCTTGCTTGTGGTAAACTCTTCGGTTCAAGCATTGCCAAATAATGATACTTCTCAAATGAACAATGTACCAACCTTCAGGGATTTTTGTTGTCTTCTGCAGGAGATGATTGTGTATCGATACAAGCCGGATGCTCAAATATATATATCCATGATGTGAACTGTGGACCTGGACATGGAATCAGCATCGGAGGACTTGGAAAGGACAACAGCAAAGCGTGCGTGTCAAACATTACTGTTCGAGATGTCACTATGCAGAACACATTAACTGGAGTCAGAATTAAGACATGGCAGGTAACTAAGAACACCCCATCATCAACAAACTTCTTCCTATAGTGAGCCTGCTAGATTCAAACTATTGAAAATGTCTTATTGTTTCTCATTACAGGGAGGCTCAGGCGTTGTACAACAAGTGATGTTCTCAAACATTCAAGTTTCAGAAGTTGAAACTCCAATCATGATTGACCAATTCTACTGTGACAAGAGCAGCTGCAAGAATCAATCTTCAGCTGTGGCTGTGTCAGGCATAAACTACGTGAACATAAGAGGAACCTATACAGTGCAACCTGTACACTTTGCATGCAGCGATAGCCTGCCATGCAGTGGAGTGACTCTAAGCACCATCGAGCTAAAATCAGCTCAAGAAAACCACCGTCTGAGTGGACCTTTCTGTTGGGAGACCTATGGAGAGCTCAAAACTGCCACAGAACCTCCAATTAATTGTTTGGAGATTGGGAAACCATCAAAAGCAGGAACTCAATCTAGTTTTGAATCTTGCTGAGAATAGCCTCCAATATATAGCCATACAAATTAATATGAATGCTAGGGTTTGCCATTTATACTCATTGTTGTAGCCATATTCTTAGGATATGTAAAAGACACGTATGTGTACTGAAGCTGATAGTATAGTCCAATGCAAACTGTCGCCTACGGTGAATTATGTTTTCTTGACAATGTAGCAAAATCGATCAGATAAGAAGTAAAGAACTTCAGTTTGCATTAGTTACTGAATACTGGAGGAATCCAAGCATTGTTAAAAGATAAATGTAGGAATTCGAAAACATTGTCGCAGAAAACAAGTAAATGTAGCTACAATCTACTATCTAGTAACCATATATTGAAATAGTGAAAAGGAAGGGTTCATCAAGATCATTTGGCCACATGAACAGTATTGTGGAACATCATTCGCAAACGCTGTGTATTGCAATGTGTAAGTTAAAAGGAATAAATACCAAGTAAGGACATAATCAATTGCAAACTTCAGCAAAATTAATAAACTTGAATACCAAAGAAAAAGAACACAAAGCTCCAAAAAGAAGGGAAGTAATTCACCATCAAACAACACAATATAATACTTGTCGTATGGGGTGAAATTTTGAAACTATATGGGAAAGAAAATGAGTTATAAAAGATGATGAGAATGGATAAATGAGTGAACAGATAGGAAACCTGTTAAGAAACTAAGGGTAGACTTCAATTTTCCCATTTACCAATTAACAAGATAACCTATGAACAATAACTAATTGCTAATTGTTTTACGAAAAAGACATGAATCACATGCCTCCCTGAACTTGACAACTTGTATCATCTATTAAACCTACAAAACTCCATGATTCTTGTATTTAAGCTATTATGGTCCTGTGAACAACCTCCAGTAATTGGCACTTTCAGCATCACAGCCACCTAAATCAGCACACAATCTAAAGGGTAAATGAGATGACAACAAAAAGGAATCAAAGTTTTAATTAATTTCTGTTTGTCATGAACCTGACATGATTGAGGAAGCCTCTCTAGACATTCATGATTTTCCAAAACCAGCAGCAGCTTTCTTCCTTTTTCGGGTTTCTACCTTTTCAGGGCTGGGGAGTCCAGTCATATCCTCATATTTCTTTTCTAAGGCCTGCAAATTAGATCAGTATTAAGCAAATTAAGATACTCTTCCGTAGGCACCACAATCATATTTCTAAGGCCTGCAAATTAAAATCCTCCTGTACTCACCTCTAGCTGTGTGCGAATACTGTCAAGAACTTCATCTGTCATTCTGTCAAAGAACAGAATCCCCTGCAAATTCAAGAACCATGGTTGCAAAAGCAATTTAGTGATATGTTGCAAAATTGATCTCAAAATAACATACTACAGTTAGACAGTAAGAAAAGAATCTCTCCTGGAAGCTCCTTTCCTACTTTCTTCACCATAAAAAAAGCCCATAACATTACTATTTTAAGAGGGAAATAGGACTTAAGAAGTGCATTATCAGTGTTTTCAGTGTTGACCAACAGAGGATAGCCCAGATATAGTTTCGGTGCTACAAGCAGTCCCAGCAAAATTGAACCACTTGTACTTAAAATGGAGATAGGTTTTTGGATGATTATAACATCCTGGAACAGGGGTAGTCTAATGTAGAGTTTTGGGGCAAACTCCACTTTACTAGAAAGTTAAAAGAAAAACGAGACTGCCAGAATGTAGTTAACAGTCTTGGGCCTTAGTTTGTTCACATTCGACATATTCTGAAAAGACTTAAAACAGAAAGGAAACACCTGTGTGGGCATTGAGTTCTCCGTTGAGAGGAAAGAAAACAGGACTTGCATTCATACCTAATTAGACCAAATCCTTACCCTTATCATCACCCTTAGAAGTGGCAAATGGGTGGATTCTGGTTCAATCATTTCTGGTTTGGATCATTTCAGATTCTGGTTAGTTTAGGTCATTTTAAATTTTTATGTAAGATGTAACTATTTATTTTCAAGTTTGGGTCATTTTGGATGCATATTATTTTAGATTCCGAACATTTCGAATTCAAGCATCTTTAGATTCAGGTCTTTGACTTTTTAGTCAATTCGGGTTTGGTCAACTTCGAATTCGGATTTTTTGGGCAGTTTTTAAGGTTCCAATTAGTTCTGCCACCTTAAATCCCATCCTGCTTGTCACAAAGTTCAACAATCAATATTTCATATATATTATCTAAAGCTAAACAAGTCTAGCTCCTAAAACTGCAAGTTACTACACCTGCCATTGACAAATTAACAACAATAGATTAAATTTGTACTGAAGAACGAACCTGAAGGTGGTCAAATTCATGTTGGAAAATCCGTGCAGGAAGCCCTGACAAATTAACTGTAAATCTTGCACCATTGACATCTCGTGCATCAATCTTTATGGATTCTGGTCTCTGAAAGCACAAATTAATAGGAGTAACAGATAAGCATAGTGGAAAAGAGATTATAAATCATATAAAAGAGAGATAATGTCCTATTTAACTTTATAGTGTCATACATGTATTAAAAATATGTTCAATGTAACTTCAGTTTTTGTGACGTTTGGTACTTTACAATACAATGTAATTACAAGTAATATAGTTGCAAATAATGTGATTGTAAGTAATGTGATTGCAAGAAAGATAATATTGTAGTGTTTGGTTTATAAATACTTTATTGGTAATATAACATCAATTTCCCAAATTATCTCTATTTATTAAAATATAAATTTAATATACTCAGATTTTATATTGTTAATTTTTATATAATATCATCTCTTAAATATATTTTTAATATCATATATTTTATTTTTATTTCTTATTATAATCTTATATATTTTATTTTTATTTCTTAATATAATTTTTTGTATTATATATTTTATTTTAATTTTTTTCTTTTAAAAAATAATATAAATTTTATTGACAGTCACCATGACTATTGAGAATAACAAAAAAGTATTCCTTGAAATCTATATATAAAAAAACAAACTATAACATTGCAAAATATTTTTAACAAAATAACAAAATTGAAAGGTAAAAATATCTTTAATAACATTGTAGAACGCTAATTGTATTGGTTTTTGACTGTAATGTGATTGTATTGCACTCTTATATTGAATTAGTTTGTTGTCAAACAAACACTGCAATGTAATTTAATTAGACACATTAAATCGAATGTGCTCTCACTTCTTTCATACAAGATGCTACCATTGTGCATCAATCTACCTGAATCTATAACATTGCCGACAAAACTTGCTAACATGGCTACTAATCAATCAAAATGAGAGACATGACGAGATTGCCATGTCATCCAATGAGACCATTTCAATTTGCACAAGTGGATGACATGTAGCTACCACACGTCACAAAAAATATTTTAAGAAAATGAAAATCTTTAAAAAATAAAGTACCTCTACATCAGCATAGATTCTTGGAAAAGATAAGCAACCTTCGTTAAACAGCACTGTCTTCTTGGAATATTTGTTAACTCTCGGATTTACAAGGACGATTTCTTGTCCTTCACCTCGCTCGCCAACCGCATTAAACACCATAAGTTGAACATTAACTCCTACTTGGGGAGCTGACAGACCAATGCCATCAGTTCTGTTACAAAACGAAGCCAACCAAATTTTCACACTCCTCTAAATTGCATGAATTCCCTTGTTCTTGAAGAAAAGGAAAACGAAACATATCCATTGATCACCCAATTTCGAATTAGTGAAGAAAACAACTTTAGACTACAATTGGCCATTATCTTTGCTATAAATCAAAAGTAGATAGCAACAAATGCATCATATCACTATTTTATACTTACTTGTACATAACGTCGAACATTTCATCGACAAGCTTCTTCAAATTCTCATCGAAAGTATCAATTCGTTTATTTCTCTTCCTCAATATCGGGTCGGGATACTCCACTATTTTCAGCGGCGAATCGAACCGAAGATCCTCCACTTCAAAACAAGAAAAATAAAGTAACTTTAGAACCCAAAATTTAAAAATAAAAAATATATGAAGAGTTTGACTCTTTGCTTACTGGAAGCGACTTCGTCGTCTTTGGATAAGAAGCCTCGCTTGGCTTGAGCGTGGACAGGAGTCAGCTGAGGATTGGTTTGATTTAGCGAGGAGATGAACCGCGCGGGTGAAGTGAAACGGTTGAGCCGGTGAAGGAAGGCGGTCGAGAGAGCGGTTGGGTGGTGGAGAATGGGAACGAAAACGCGCGTTAAAGAAGGAGAGTGGAGGTGGAGCCAACTCGTGCAAGCCATCGCAGACCTTGGGACAAAGATCAGTGTCGCAGGAATAAAGAGAAACTTCTTTGGTGTTCGAAAAGTTTTTGGAGTTTTTGCGTTTTAGTCCTTGTGAATTGTTTGTTTTGCTAATTTTTGCCGCAATTTTTATTTTTTATTTATTTCGCCATTTTTCTCTGAATTTTAGCCAGGCCAAAGGTTTTTCTTGGCTAGAAATTTTTTATTGAAAACTATTTTTTTAAAGATAAAATAAATTAAAATAAAAATATAATTATTAAATCAAAAATAAAATAAAAGTGTGAATGTGGGTTTGCCAAATATGCAGTTAATTAAATTAAACAAACTTTTGATTAAATAATATATTTAAATAATTTACTATTATACTATTGATAAAACCATATAATAAAAAATGACATCGATTAGATATTAGTTTAGTAGTGATAAAAAAAGAGCATATAATCATGCTAATTGATGATCATAATGTAAATGTTGAAATTGGTACTAAAATTTTTTATTTTTTCTAATATAAATTAATTAATTTATTTTTATATGATGATGTAATATGTTTACGTATTTATTTATATGATAAACGTAATATGATTTTTATTTGTTCTGAAGTATTTCTATACAGAATTTAAATAAAAAGCACATCAATAAATGGTTATTTTATGATAATAACAATAAAAACATATAACTAATGCTAATTAATTTTAATTTAAATGTTGAAATTTGTTTTTCAATCTTTATTTTCTTCTAAAGAAAACCAATTATTTTAATTTTATATGTTAAATATAATATGCTTATATATTTATTTATGTTGATTATATATTTTATTAAAAAATATTTTACATTATGCTATTATTTTTATATAATAAAATAAAATTAATTAACATATTTGAAATGCTTGCTTATTTTATATGTAATACAAGGCTTAATTGGTTATATCAACAACAATATGATTAATATGAATAAAAATTAATTTAATTAATAGTACCTTTTAATATATAAATAATGTGAATGATTTAACATTAGCATATGTATTAAGATATATGAAAAAGTATTAATTTTTTTTAAAATTTAAAATCATTCAAATAAAACAATTTTGCCCTTGTAACGAAGAGCTAGCTAAATTCCAGTTTTATAATTATAATTACTCCTTTTATTTTTGAAATAAATTTATTCATTACTTACTATAGTAAATTTCATAAAATAGTTACTAATCTTATAGTATTTTCCACTTTGCTCACCAAATTTCAATTTGTTCTCATCTGGTCACTAAATATTTCAGATTGTATCTAATATTGTCACCTTAACATATTTGATTCAAAACAAATAATAACATAATGACATAGTAACCATTTAAGGTAGGGGTGAGCATGGGTCGATTTCGATCAGTTTCGGGTCAGTTTTTCATCAAAACCGATCAAAAATTTTTGAGATATAACCGACAGAACCGCAGTGATATAAAGTCGGTTTCAGTCGGTTTTTTAGGAAGTCCGTTTTGGTCGGTTTCGGTCGGTTTTTGATGATGAGATCAAAAATTAAGGAAATTAGGTCCCGGCGGGAAAGGGGGAAATTAAGGAATCTGGACTTGAGGGGGGCCCGGGGGGAAATTAGGTCTGGCAGGCCAGCGGGGAGAGGGAAATTAGGGAATGTGAACTTGACACTTGAGTGGGGGGAGGGGGTAGCGGGGGGAATCGGGAATCATCCAAAAGGACTCCTGGGAGTCGGAGGGGGGCGGGCAGGGCAGCAGGGGGAATCGGGACTCGTGGGACTGTCAACTGTGAGACGGGGGGCAGGGCCGCAGAGGGAATCGGGAATCACCCAAAAGGACTCTTGGGAGCGGAGGGTGCGAGCAGGGCCGCAGGGGGAATCGGGACTCGTGGGCTGTGGGAGCCTGGGAGGGGGGCCGGGGGAATCAAGTCGAGGCCGTCTAGAGTCGGGGGGAAATAGTAGGGGGCGGGCCATGGGCGGTCGGGGTAGCCGGACGGGGGCCCATGGTGAACGTTCGATTTTCGGTCAGTTCGAGGGGGAAAGGATTCTCCCTGACGATCGAGCCGATCAGCCGACGAGGCCTATCGGCACAACCGACGGTTGCAAAACAACGTCGGTTGGACGTTTCCAACCGACCGATGCCCGCCCCTAATTTAAGGAAACCTATAAAAGTTTTCTTTTTCTCTTTTTTTTTTTCCATAAAATTTTCATTCTAACCAAACAAAGAAATGGTAAGAAAGATAACAAAGAAACTTGGTTGCAAAACTTTTTATAGATTTTTAAATAACACGGTTTCTTTAAGTGATTATTATTTGATATAATTAGGGTAAATTAGTGATTTTTAAATAACATTGTTTGATATAAATATTTTCTCAAGGCATTTGATTAATGAGTTGAACATATTATTCAATGATGATGTCGTGACTTATGATGCTTATAGAAAATAAAATTTTTAATAAAGAGAGCACTATTACATATTATTAATAATTTTTTTATATGATATGTTGATTGAATAGAGCACTTATATATAATTACATGTTCTTATTGCATGCAATACATAAAGTCCTTCATTTTGACACATGGGAAGAAGTCTCTCTTTTTTTAATTATTATCCATAACTTTTTTGGGAGATAAATAAAAAATTTAGTAAATTTAATTAAGCCGCCCTGGACTGAAAATTAATTCGTATCTGGTCAAAGCAATAAATAAATAATTAATTTATAAAACATTTCATATTTGAGCCGATTATTTTTAGATGCCATTAATCAAATAAAAGAGCAGAGAAATAAACGGAGAGAGTCTCAAGAGAAAGAGATCAGATCCTCCTTCCAAGCACACCAGAAAGGTAAACTAATTTATATTCCTTTTGTAAAATTTATTTCTTCTTTTATCAACAGGTAAAATAGATCCACCAAAATAATTGTTTTTTTTTAAATCTTTTCAATGATTTATTTGAAGTTTTAATCTTTTTCTTTCTCTTTGCTCTGGGCTTGATTTGATATATCTGTTATTATTTTAATATTTCTGGTTCATTTCAGCGTTCTGAATTTTAGGATTCATTTTATGATTTGGGTGTTTCTCAAATTTTTTGATTGATATCTGTTTGATGATTTTTGTCTCTTTTTTTTTTATAGATATTTGGGTTGAATTATTTTGGGGTACATGCTATCAAGTTCATGTATTTTGTTTGAAATTTTATTGGGTTTTTGTTTTTATTGATTTTTTTTGGGTTTTTAGTGATTGATTTGCTGGATTTTTATGTGAATAAGTGCTGTGAGCTAGAAAGAGCAGAAGAGAGATGGGGATGACTTTTACGAAGCTCTTTAGCCGGCTTTTTGCCAAGAAGGAGATGCGTATTTTGATGGTGGGTCTTGATGCTGCTGGTAAAACCACTATTCTGTACAAGCTCAAGCTCGGTGAAATCGTCACCACAATCCCAACCATCGGTGAGTTTTGGAACATTCGCATTTCTCTGAGAAAGGAAAATCCTATTTTTGGTTGTTTTGGAATGGTAGCCTCGTGAGAATTCTGAATCTAAGCGATTTTGATCAGTTGGTGGATGATTTTGGCCTTGATTATAATTGTGAAGCAAAAGAAATGGCTCAAGATTTTCATTTTGATTTATGGTTCGTGTGGTGCAGTCAGATTTACCGGTTTGTTGTATGCGAATCATACTACTTTTTAGATGACTGATGGATGTTTTTGGCTTGGTTGTTATATTATTAGTTGGTTTGTGCAGCATTTAGTTTTATCCTTATTTGGAAAGGAAATGGTTCACCTTCATTATTTCGTCTTTATTGTTGGGTTGTGAACCATGTGAATTGTTTCTATTCTATATGGTTTTCTGACAATATTGTAGGCAAGGATTGTATCTCTTTAGTTACTAGCATCCAAAAGGAATATAGATCCTCTCATAGATACATAGAGGTTATTGCATGTATTGATTTTCGTAATTAGGGGGCTTTTGGTGGTTTACCAAAGTTTTAATTTGCAATGGTCTTTTCATACTTTTTGAAGGGTTCAATGTTGAGACAGTGGAATACAAGAATATCAGCTTCACCGTTTGGGATGTTGGGGGTCAGGACAAGGTATGCATCTTAAAAACTAACGATGGTGTAGTTCTATGATGTATGCATGTTAAACTTTTTGTGTCATTTATCCGAATTCATCCCAAATTTCCAGCAAGAAATGATAATATCATGATGTTTGGACGATGAATCATGAAGCCTTATTTTCAAGTATGTAGAATGCATATGTGTATAACACTCTGCCATCTGATAATTCATGTTGTTTATATAGGGGGCATAGCCAGCAGTGAAGCCATATTCCTGGTGGAAATTTTACATATTTCTACTGTTTTGATTTAAAAGTGCTGTAGGGTCGTTAACTTTCTTTCTTTCAAATACAGATCCGTCCTCTGTGGAGGCACTATTTTCAGAACACTCAGGGTCTCATTTTCGTGGTGGATAGCAATGACAGGGACCGTGTTGTTGAGGCAAGGGATGAGTTGCACAGGATGCTGAATGAGGTCTGTTACCTTGTCAAATAAGGAGAATCCATTGAAATATTTTTCTTCCTTATCTCAGACACAGAAACAGCACATAAGGGCTTTATAAGCTAATGATATTTTTTTTTTTTCAGGATGAATTGAGAGATGCTGTTTTGCTTGTATTTGCCAACAAACAAGATCTTCCCAATGCAATGAATGCTGCTGAAATAACTGATAAGCTTGGACTTCATTCTCTCCGCCAGCGCCACTGGTAAAAATGTCCTCTTATTTCTTTGTTTCCTCCACATATTTTACTCTCACTGTTTGTGCAACTTTCTGATTTGATTTGATGTCCATTACAGGTATATCCAGAGTACATGTGCAACTTCTGGAGAGGGCCTTTATGAGGGGCTTGATTGGCTTTCCAACAACATTGCTAGCAAGGCAAGTGCATAAACCTCAAAATGTGTGTAGAAAAAACTGTTGTGTTCTAGAATAAGCACTTACCATTTGAATATGTTGGAATTGACAACATAGGTCCGGTTCTTTTTTGACAAGTCATAATCAGTTTCTACATTGGCTTATCTACCTTGACTTGCTTTCTTTTGCAGGCATGAGCGAGGCTCAGGGTTTTGGTTGTTAGTTAGGCTCGTTGGAATTCTGGCAACTCTGGAGAGGATGGCTTCCCCTTTGTCCTGGAACTTTTGTAACGACAGAATGTTTACTAGATATAATATGTGCTTTGTTTAACCTCGGCTTTAGCAAATACTTGTAGTTGTAAACAACACTTTATTACTCCAGCCTTTGGGAATCGGATTTGTTGTTTAGTACTGTTTGGGTCGATTTCTTTAGTTCATATCGACTAGTATCTGATTTGGTATTCGTTGGTTATCTGTGCTGCCTCCATTTCTTTGATAAGCTGCGCAGGTGAAGGTTTTCTTCACCCCAGTTTGCATTTAAACTGATCTTTGGTGTTCTAATAGTACATCAACTAGCATCAAGATGCTGGTAAGTGCACATGAAATGATTATCTCATGCATGCAGTTCACGTGGTTCTGGAATATTTGACCTTCAAATCCATGTAATCATGCTTATTAACAAAACGTGAAGCAATTATGCCGCACATACGAATACTGAATAATTAAAGTCCATGAACTTCTTCCATTTGCAGTCCCAGGGAGCAACCAAAGGTCCTCTCTTTATAATCCTTGGGAGTGTGAATCCTCAATCATTGCATGAATCCTTTCTGCCACCTCCTACAACAGAACCCTAGCTTTCACATTAGACATTCACAGTAGAGCATTGACAAATCCTTGTGGCTCACTGGTTGGCATATTCATATGGGGTTGAATCTTGCATGTGAGTGTTCTTTATTTTATTAGCAAACTATCAATTTCCTTCCTGGTAACCTGCTTCTATATAGATTTGGGTTATGTATAAATTTTTTTCACAGTTCTCGTCAACCTGCAAAGCATAGTCTGTTTTAATTTATTAAATTTTATTTTTATTTCATCAAAAACGTCACACAAATTAAAATAATATGAACATTTAAATCTCTAGTTATATTTTACAAAAAACACGACTGTCTCTCTAGTTATATTTAAGTAACCTTAAATCTAAAACACTTTGCATCTTAGTTCTTAGAAACACCAAGGTATCTATCAACTAAAAGTGTTTCACTGATTCCAAAGTTTAACGGTGGGGATTTGGAGTATGACCATGTGATGACATCAGACTTCTTTTTGAACACGTCTCCATTTGTAGTTACTAATCTTCCAAGCAAATCAAAGGGGTTGGCGCATTTTGCAATTTGCCAACAAACCTCATTAAGCCCAATAATAATTTGTTGTCCATCAACTTTCCCGTTGGTTGGATACAGCCTAATCCAAATATTAACCACATATTTTATATGTGGCTCAGCTTTTACCCTTTTGTTATGAAGAAAAAAAAAATTGCAAAAGAGTAAGCAAATTTAATTGGCTCTAAAGCCAGCTTATTAGATGTTTTCACATGTACATGTGTTTTGAGAAACATGATCATGGATGGAAGCACACCTTAATAGCCACTAATTTCCCAAAATCAAGGGCAAGGCTTTCCCCTTTTGTACTTTGGAGTCTAAAGACTACAAAATGGTAGCTCAGTATTAAGGTTGTGGCCTTGTAAGAATATTGTCAAAGCTTAACACATGATTACACTCTCCCAATCAAGGTTTTAACACATGATTTTGTTTTTGTGTCATATATTTAAGTATTGCTTTAATTTACGCACATATGATCATAGATGTATGTACGAATGCCATATACCCAAATCCATATGTATGCCTTTTTTATGTGAATAAGAAATGTTAGGACGAAACAATTTGATAAAATATTCATGCTATTAGTTCTTGTGAGGAGAAAAATTTGGGTTTATTATTAAATAGTTAAGTTACGTTTTCATTTCAAGAACCCTAAACTTCGAAGTAAAAAGTTAAATAATTTAAGACCTCTTTTCCAAAAATATATTACTTACAATTACTGCATTATAATATGAAACTATGTAGGATTAACAAAATCATTATATAAAACTCGTACTTATAAATTTAAAGTTTTAGGTAATTTCTTATTATAATTAAATAATTATAAAATTGAAATAAAAAAATTAGAGATGAAATGCTCCATTTTTCCTTACCATTGAAATAAGACGTTATCCATATTATTTTATTTTTTAGCCAATAAAAAACTTTTGAGCATTTTCCTTTATTACTAGAGAAAAAGTATTAAATATCTCACAATTTTGTGGTAAAAAATGGAATATTAGTGAGAAAAAAAAAAGAGGGACGGTAAAGGACACGCGCCAAGAAAGGTTAGTGGGATACAACATGAGGAGTGATGCCAAAATTGAGAAAGAATCCAAACAACTTTTGCATGAGTTGTCAAAACAAACGCTAATCACAGACATTATCTAGAAATTAAGAAAGCTTGTTTTGTCTGATCAATTAAATTAGATTAAAATGAGTGGCTAAGATTTTTTTGAATGATTTATTTAGGAATTAGTCTTTTTAATTGGGATTTTAACATAGTAATAACTTCAAAAGTTCACTTATTTAAGCAACCTTTTATGCTGAACATATTTTCTTCTTAATATGAAATCCAATCTTAATTTTTTTTTGTTTAGATTTGAAGAAAGAGGAATTTGAACCTTACTTTATTAAATAAAGAGATCATGTATTAATCAATGAACTAAATATTCGAATACCAATTTTAATTTCTTACCTCATAAGTAATACGTTCTTGCATATTTTAAGCATTAAAACGAACACTAGAAAAGTTTGGAAGTTCATCTTTAGAAATACTATACACTCGACAGTCATATAAATTCACTTGTACAATTAAAAAAAATTTATCCTTAATGTATACAATTATAATCCATTGATTATTATTATTATTATTATTATGAGTTTAGCTTGAGAGTTAGGAATTTTTTGAGCAAAGAAAATCGCCAAAAGTAACATTATTATTTGTTTCACTTAATGTTATTAATTTAATTTTAATTATGTTATTTATAAATAATAGCTAATCATGAAATTGTAGATCCCATGCTTTGATTTATTATTTATTATTTATCTAATAATTTTTTACCATGTCATATGAAAAACGGAAATAGTTGGAAGGATACGTTAGACAAGTAACACCTTACTCTTTTATTTAAAAGTTAATTATACATTTGGTACTCAAATTATATTGAAATGATCAATTTGGCACTTGAAAAAAAAAAAAACAAATTTACAATTAATTACATTACTCAAATTAATGAAATTATCAATTTGGTACTTAAATTAGTGTTTTTTTTATCATGTTACTCTTTTGACTAACGGAATTAGTTTCATATACAAATTATTTGATGAATAACTAATTTTGATTTTGAAGTATAAACACGAAATGGAACATTTGATCATAGTTTGGCTATTAAATGTGAAATCACACTTTGGAATAATAATAATAATAATAATGGAAAAATTAAGGTATCAAACCATTAATTGATAAGATTTTCTTTTTTAGTATGTTTCCAAGGACTGAGCAAAAACCGAAATAAATGTTTGGAGGGTTATTGTCAATAATTAGCCAATTGTTGGAATAAAGAATTGAGTGGTTTTATTTTAATTAAAGTTTTTTTTCCTCCATTTTATCGTGTACAAGTTTCTTTTAATGACCATGAAAATTATTTCGATTTAATAAATTTAATCAGCATTATTAATATCATAATTAAACCATGTTTTTTTTCCCGAGATTAAAATTTGAAAAACAAATACAATCTGCTTGTTATTTCATTGATCAATTTATTTTTAAAATGTATTATATTGTAACTGTTTTCTTTTATTCCTTTCTATTTTTCTAATAAACATTGCACTCAAGTTCTTACTCAATGGCCAAAATAAAAAATTCTGGCTCTCCAAACAGAAAAGGAAAAATAATTATCCAGATTTGGTTTGTGTGTTTTAGATATTTAAGATATCGTAGCTAGCCCTGCAGATTCTCATCTTCTATGGTTTTCATTTTCATAAACAAATGATCAATTTTAGAATATTTATGTCCAGTACTTGAGTAGGTAGTAATAAGGGATCTAATTGCTAACTAGTTGCATTAATCTCCCTTTAGATATATCCTTTTGCTGTTTAATTTGTAAACCAATTTGACCAATAGTGAAGTTAAATAATTGCATTCATAGTAATATTTTATATAAATATATGTGTGTGTGTGTGATTTTATTTATTTTTTAATTTTGATTTTTTAACTTATATATACACGTGTATATATATAATATATATAATTCATGATACATAAAAGCATGAATACATCTAAAACTAGACTTTTGATTAATAAAAAGGGACATATTTCTTGATTATATTTTTAAATTATAATTTTTAATAATTTTCAAATAAATGTTTAAAATTGCATTTAATGACTTTCATTGAAAGATGTTTTTCATAATTCTAGTGTTATTAAATAATTTATTAATTGTTATTACAAATTTTCAATTATTTATACTTCAAATTATATATAATTATAAAATATTTACAGTAATATATAATTATTATTTAAAAATAAATAAAAAATAACTATTCATGTGCAATATTGCATATGATAATATATTCATATATATATATATATATATATAATACATAAAAGAATGGCTAGGTACATATAGAGTAATTAAATGTCACATGCAAAAGAAAGAATATATAGTAATATTATTAATCCTTAAAATATATCAATAATATGTGGCCTTGCATGCAAAAGTGTTTGGGCCATGCATGCATGTGTTCTCATTAAGACAATAGTTAGGTTTAAAGCTCTTCTCTAATGGTATTACCAACAAGATTACTAGCAAAAATAATCTTAGATTTTGCTCTATAAAAACCCCATCTACCTTCTTTTGCATCACATTCTCCTTCTCTCTTTTTCTTCATATCATCTCTTTTTTTTTTAAATCCTGTCTCTCGTGCTTGCTATCTTTCTTCTCTTTCCAAAAGAAATTAAAGATGGATAAGAAACCATGCAAATCTCAAGACGTTGAAGTGAGAAAAGGACCATGGACCATGGAAGAAGATTTGATCCTCATCAACTATATTGCCAACCATGGCGAAGGTGTTTGGAATTCTCTTGCTAAAGCTGCAGGTAAATTATCAATATATAATAAGCAAAAATAGGGGAAAAAAAACTACTTTTAATTTATTAAGCTCTCAACAAACTTCCATAAAGAAACAACATTTTGATCATATAGATAATTATTGTTTTCATTAAAAAGAAAATGGGCAAAAAAATCTTTCAAGCTTTTAAAATAACTTCTCATTGAAAAATATATACTAAAGCTTTTTGATAGAAACCCTAATGGATAAAAAATGTCTTATATTTGCTAACTTTTGTCAGGATTGAAACGTACTGGAAAGAGTTGCCGGCTCCGATGGCTGAACTACCTTCGACCGGATGTCCGAAGAGGCAATATCACGTCGGAGGAACAGCTTTTGATCATGGAATTGCATGCCAAGTGGGGAAACAGGTTAGTTTATCTTATGATAAATATTGCATGTATATCAATAACATTATTTCAAAAAAAAGTATAAAACTATATATATATATATATATATCTACATATTAATGTAGGATAAAAAAAATTAATCCTATTACCCTTTGATCTCCTGACAAATACAAAGAAGAAACTCTTCCCTCTTCCTTGGTGTTATGACTTCAGCTATGATTAGCAGAAAAAGTGCACTTCTCCCAGGCCTATATGTACATCCAATATTCATCACGTTGCTCTTCTCGGAGATTTAGCAACGTGGGGATGAGTTATTCTAGGCCACCAAAAGGATTTGCAACACATGGGGTTTATATCAAACTTGTGGCCACCAAATTTCCTTGTAATTCTTTCCCAGTTCTTAAATTTTTCATGGCTGCCAAAATTCCTTGATGATTTCTTCTTCTTTTTTAAACATTTTTCCCTGAATTTTCCTGCCATATTTATGAAGGTTGTATGCCATCCATATGGAAGTGTACTACAAGAATTTTGCTTTAAAAGGTGGATTTGCCTTATTTTCTTTTCGACCTTCCTTGTTTAGGTTTCATATTGGACATACCCTCCCATATAGGTTTTACATGGCAGACCATCAAATTCAGCATAAAGACTACATCTCTCTTTCTCTCTCTCTTGTTTTCTCCTAAGTATCTAGAATGATTTTGGAAACAACAAGGTAATTGGTATAGTACTACCACCAAGAGAAGGGTATAAATATATACTTTGTATAAATTTGATATTTATTTGCATATACTTAGTATTAAAATATATGCAAGGAAGAGTCTTATGAAAAGAATTGTTGAAATATTAGTAATGATTATCATTACTAATCATGTGCCAAATAACAAAAGTGACAGCAAGCAGAACAGATTGGCAATCAAACGTTTCCATTTTAAGCTAAACCCCTTCCAGTATGGACACATGTTAAGACTTCTTTTAGGAGAAAAATGAAGCATATTTTACTTGGTTGAAGTAGACATAAACCTTCTTGTTTTAGATCGTTAAGACATGGTCGGCCCCTTGGAATTTATAAGGAGATGATGGGAGCTTTTCCATTAGAAAAATAAAAAAAAAAATAAGGGAAGCATCTGATCCAAAAGAAGTGTTCAATTTCTGCTTTAATTTTTCTTTTTCATTTAATACTAATATTCCGACCGCAAAAGGTAACATTAATTTTGTGGAGATAAGTCTCTGGTCAAAGGGTTCTGTACTGATATAGACTTTTTCTTGAGAAAATGAAAGACAAGTCTGATTTGGATTGAACAAGCTGAGACTGTTCTGAATCTTTTTGAGGACATATTTGAACCAGAATTGTGAATTCTGAATAGTAGCCATAAATGGAGGTAGATTTCCATTTTGAGAAAGTCTAGCTACTTGTGGGAGCTTGGATTATCCACCATGGATAGTTTGCACGTTGCAGTACTATCACACATTACTTTCTGTAAAATTTGACCCATTTTCCATTACTTTACCATTAAATGTCACTTTTACTCTGGAAGACATGTCTTTTCTTCCTCTTCTTCTTCCAAAACAGGACACAATAAAACCAGGCATAATAATATTTGATGAGTGTATCTTAATTCTCTAAGAATTGCTTACACAAATGCAGGTGGTCGAAAATAGCAAAGCATCTGCCTGGAAGGACAGATAATGAAATAAAGAACTATTGGAGGACTAGGATCCAGAAACACATTAAGCAAGCAGAAGTTTGCTCTTCTCAGAGTCATTCGGAGCTACTTGAGCAAGCAAGCACAAGCCAAGTGCCTTGCAATACAGATATGAGGGAAACATACCCTCCATCATCATTTAACCATTTCAACATGGAAGCATTTCCAGGACAGTCAGCAATGTCAATGGCAGTTGAATCATATGAAAACTATTGGAGCATGGAGGATCTCTGGTCCATGCAGTTGCTTACTGGGGACTAAACATGAGGATTAGTTTCTATATACCTTACGCCTGTCGGTCCAAATTAATTCTGCTTGATTTGGATCAACGTTAGGTTTGTTTACACTCGGTGGTTGAGAACTGGACTTAGTATTTTCCATATGTTTGGATTAAGTATGGCTTGTAATCGGATCTTATACTGCATCCACCTATATAAATATATATATATATATATATATATATATATATAGTATTCAATAAATTACTTAGCTTTGGTATAATAATCTCCTTGAAATAAAGATAAACCAAGATCTTGACATTACTATTGTGGATTAACAATATAATATTATGAAGCCAACAATGGTAGAGAAGCTGGCAGATCCATTTCCATCAAGGTAATGTATTCAGCTTATTGTATGTATATATTCTATTGATTTGACCTTGCATTATTGGCTTACGATAAAATGCTAATTATATCGAAGTTTAGTTGAGTGAAAACTTTATAAGTCTAACTTAATCATTCATTATCATTTTCAGAAGATTGAGAGTCAAGATTCGAATCTCATAATTCCTCCTTATACCTCCAATATATATCAAAGAGATAAGATTAGTTGAGAATGATTAATTACTAAGTATTTAGTTAATTAATATTTGGTAGGATTTCCTCTAACCTAAACAAAAAAAGGACAAACAATTGATGTGAAACAAACATCATATTGTCTTTACTTTATATAGTACTATAATATTTACTTATTCATCATGTTTTGCTGGTTTATGCTTTATAATTAAGAACCCAAATCCCTACACTAGTCTTTTCAAACATAATTAAGGTTAGCTTAGTAAAGTATATATATGATGGAAAAACTTCTTTATACGCTAATGTATAGTTGTGCTAAATAACAAACACATAGTGGTCAAATTAAAATTATTTTCATCCTTTTTCCAAGTAAAACTTTATCGGATTACCTTAAACGGTAATTTCAAAAAATAAATATATTGAGAAAAAAGAGAGATGTATGCAAGGAATTTTGGGCAAATGCGTGTGTATACCACATTATCCTCCATGCATGCAAATTAATGGGGGATGATATACCTATATCCATCATCTTAGACGATGGAGAGGGACATGTCCAGGACTTACCTAACTAAACCAATAGAAAATCGACACGTCCATCCCAAGGCTATAGTCACCGATAAAAATAGTACTATTGGGCTTCGCTTTTGTCATTTTGTTTCCATTTTTGTGCATGGCCATGCAAACTTAAAGGCCGACGTGAGCCTAACTCTTGCACCTGCCGCAAGGAAAGTCTTCACATGCCTTATAGACTTCACATCCACTTGCTCAACATGTTACCACATAGTGACGTTTCAAACCCCAGAATAGAAAGTTCTTCTTGATCTCGTTTTGATCGCCTTGAGTATTTATCCTATATATATATATATACTTACTAACTCATTGACAAGCTAAGATAAACTTAATTATAGTGAAGTCGATAAAATATGTCTTTATTGATATTTCTTATAAGATGAAAGATCCTATGATATATATGATTTCCCACTCTCTTTCATATATTTATCTATAACTATAATCAAATAGAAACCTATACTTATTCATCAAGCAAATAATGGAATGCCAAATTTATAGTTTCGAATTAACTTAGTGAATGCATCATGTATCTCACCTAGAACATGGGGTATACAAAAGTTAGGTCCTTTGATGACATTGAATGAGCAATATTTCAGTGTACCAACCTTCAACTTTAGCACCCAACCTCTTATTCAAAATAGGAATTCAGAAGATAACTCCAAGACACCATTCCTTCGGATGCTGCACCGTGTCTCATATGGGAAAGAGAAAGAGGGCAGCATTTGCGTGAGCTTTCATTGCATACCAAAACATAAGAAAAAGAGCTCGAATTTGAGCCGCGCATTTTATTTGGTCACATGTTTTATGTGCAAGAATCGCATATAGAGTTAAAGGAAAACCTCCATGTGAAAGATAAGGAAAAAATCACATGATTGGTCGGCCATTCAGTGCAAATTACAACATGGGAATGTGCTTTGGAAAAACAAATGTCATCATAACTTATGTGCCGATCGAGCTAGCCAAGGCCAATCCCTACGAGCTAATGTGCAATGGAAATTTCTAGTTCATCCAAAAAGACAACAACCATTCCTTCATGATCCATCCAATCAAAAACATTCGTGAATGCGTATGGCAACCTCACAATGTTGGCAAATAAAATTTTAAGGTAATATAGCTATGTGGCTATAGATTTTAAGAGATGTGTGTTTCTTTTCTTTTCTAATTATATACACGATGGTGTTGGGTTACACAAAAGAAGGTAATTTGATCATCCTATGAATCTCACTTTCTATTTTCAAAAATCCAAACTTGAAATAAAAAAGATGAAAGTTTAAATTCTAATTATTAGAGAATTTTTTAAAAAACGATTTTAACGGATACATGAAATTAAAAAATTATAAATGATAATATAAGCACGTGTACATGCGTGTAATGAAATAATTATTTAAACTTTACGTTAGGGTTTGCATTTAGAGTGATTGTCATGGACTTCATTTATGGCAATTTTGTGAATGAGAAAGCTAGCAGTGCCGACAAGTCATTTGAATGGAAAAACGATTGAAGACAATATATATTGGCATATGTGACAAGACTTGAGAGCCTTTTTGTTTGGAAAGAAAGGGCATTCATCTATTTACTCTTGCATGTGCCTTTGTGTCAGCTTGAAAATGATAAGTGTTCTTTTGTAGTTTTTTAATAAAAATTACTTTCTTGCCATGCCTCTTCTAGCTTTGATAAAAAGTTTGCCAACAAGAAAATAGGATAATTAAGAATTCAAGATCCCTCAAACTCTCCATTATTAGTTAACATAACTTCACTGATTGGGATACCATTAGTAAATATAGGGACAACAAGGATTTGGGTTTTATGGTGGATAGCTAGACAATGGAATGGATTGAAGGATTGGTCCTAAAGTCTTCTGTCCTTAGAATCTTCGCTCATGCAGTGCATTAAAAAGGAGGATTATTGAGTTTGGCTTTTCTGAGAACAATACTT